ATTTATTTTCATTGTAATTTAATATATTAACATGAAATAATCACGAGAGTATTTACTTTAATCAATTCTTATCTAATGTGATTTTAATTACTATAAAGTTTCTTGTGTTACTAAATGACTTCTTTTAAATAGCTTTGGCATAAATACCATAAAAGCAACACATGAAGATGAGATGTAATCTGGAAGCAAAATACCAAGCTGAAGAGTTTTTGCGTTTACCACTATGATAATGTGTACCATATAATTTACAGAATTTGCATTATGTTACTGTAATGAAGTAAATTCGAAATGCGAATAAAATCTAATGTTACAAAATTGAAGATGATTATTTAAAATTTTATAGCATAGAACCAAGGAACTTCTTAACTGAGCGTATTTTAATTTCTGCAGTAGTTATTTTTTCAATTTAGATTTTACACTGCCAAAGTAAGAGAGAATTTCTATTGACCACGAAAGTTTCACTTTTTTACACCTCAAAATGAGCACTATTTACTTACGAATTATATTGGTGATCATGTATTTATTACTGTTACCACAAGTGTCATCATTTATCTATTTCATAATATCATAAGTTGACTGTGGTTTTTAAATGTTAACACTTTGTTCCTGATACAATTATCTAGACGTATTGTAGCCATCGTTCCGCCTGTTGAACTGGGGTTCAAACGAATATCATGTTTTAGGCTATAAATCTATAGAAGTCTCAGCAAAACTGGATAACCTGTGCTTTTTGAGTTTCAGTTGGGAAACCTATGCTTTTGATCATGTACTGAATTTAGTATTCCACACCTAGTTTGATCGGTACATTTTGAACGTGATCATTAACACTGTGAATAGGAAAAACGAAGTCTAAATTAACCGATGAACCTGAAAAAATATCATATGACATGTTTTCAACCACACTTAAACTAGTTTTTCCTGTAACTTATTTCTAAGTTCTTTAGGTAACGGATTAGACTGCTTCATCGAAGCTTAAAATCACTTGAAAAATATCACAGTAATTAAAAAATGTAACTTACATCCCATATCAAACTGCAGAAATCTTAAATAACCCTAGAAAATGTGAAATTTAATTCTTTAGTTGGTTTACATTTGATGTTCAAGTCGTTTTACTAAAGTAATAGATTAAAAATATATGACGTGAAATTAAAGCAAAGGAATGTTCTTCCAAGCATAAGCTAATATATGAGGGTAGTAAATAAACTAGTTTCCTTGTGTGACATTTGTAGCGGCATCGGCCCTAACCACAAAATCGTCAAAGCTGAACACGAGACAACTAGGAAAATAGATATTTAACGCCGAGAAAAACCAAATGATGGAGAAGGCAGGAAGAAGGAATTCAATTAATTGATCGGATGGCATAGTTCGGCCTTGCAGGCGTGGTCTTACTTATGTAACATTATTTTTATCCATATTAAATATATTGTTCTATCTCCAGCCTAAATGTGTTAATCATATATTGATGACTCGCAATACGATGAGTCAGGGTAGACAATGATGTGACTACCAACTAAGATCTTATAGATTAGGCAATTACATCATGACAAATCTACAATTTTAGGATTAAGTCTATTATCAGAGAGGTACTAATGTTGAAGTAGACCATAATTCTACACATTTCTGCCACATTATAAGTGGCGAGTGATTTATTTGTTTATGATGTGGCAGTGAATATTTCTTTAAAATTGCTAAGACGGTTTTGAAAACCACTACAAAGCTTTATGAGACTCCAAAGGAGCCCAAGCGATTCCGTGCAATCAGAACCTGGTAGAGCATTCTAGAACGTATACGACTGGATGACGGCATAACTTGCTTTCTTGCGGATTTACTGAATTAAAGTGATATTGTAGTGAAGGAGAACACAGGTGAGGACAACGGAATTATATTTAGAACAAAATTACAGTTACTTGGTAAAATATAAAAACCATACTATAATAATTAATTTGCAAAATGTTCAATAATTGTCTCGAACTTCGTTGTACTTGCATTTCCATATTAATTACTTTCTATTTCTACTCTTCCTTTCTTGATCTTCCTCGTCTTCTGCTGCCAGACATTACATTCCTGACTCGCGTCATATACTACTTATATCAATATAAGTAGCACGCACCACAATATTATATCCAATACTGATAGCCATAAATACTCATGTTTTTCTGTAAATTTTATATTCTTACTCAATGATTATTTCTCCTGGTCTGCGACCTTAGGGTTCTACGTGTCCGAATGCCGTAAGTTTTATATCGTATTGCCGTAATTAAGTGGAGGACGGAAGAAGAATCAATTAGTTGATTTATGACAACAATTGTAGAGTGTGATTGTAAAACGTTGAGAAGATCACGATCAACTTGGCCGTAACCTTATAAGTGGGAAAAAGTGTCACGTGTACAATTATTTTCTGATTATTGGACTATGGAATTCTTGTTGTTCAACAGACACTAGAAATACAAACTAGGTACTGTAGGACGTGCACTATTCAAGTCTGGAGTTAAGTCGTCGACCTCACACCAATCACCAGGTGTATACACTTTTCCACTACCAATTTGTAATATTTTAACACTTTCAAGGAAACAAACTGCGTCTCCGCCATACTGATAGGTGTCCAATATAACAAATCTGACATCTATAATCATTGAAGTTCGGGACTATTGTGCGGCAGGTCCAGCTATATCAATGAACTTCCCACTTACTAGTTATTTCAGATACAACACGCACACATGCGTTTTCCTGCAAACACTAAACTTGTGAATAAGATACTCTGTGCGTTGCCACCATATGGTGTTTGAGTGAACTTATGATCCATTTGTGCTTGTTGAATGCTTGATTTCGAATTATAAATACAGAACATTCGTTTGTGCTTATCTAGTAGTACTTGATACGACTACGTTATTTCTGGGATTCCTAGTTCATGCTATAATTCAAATACTCCTGATTATCATATTTGCGTCGCGATGGAGCCTGTGATGGAACGGTCGGACATACATTCAGATCTCGATGCTTTTGCGAATGACTTTGAAGGGTTCGAACTTTGAGCTATGGCCAAGGAAGATGCTGAGGATGTTAATATTGTGGCACACGTCCTCACATTCATCCGAATAGAATCATATAGCTTATTAGGAACTCTGGCTATCCCAAAAATGCCCATTTCGCTTCTTTATACAACTCTCAAGGAACTACTGCTAGACTATGTTAAGTATACCAATTTCGATTGCGCTAAAGGGAGATTTCGTAAAATGATTCACAAAGACATAAAAAATTCCAATGCATTACGTCACCCCAAACCAGTGCATATGTAACAGCATAGGTTGGTTGGTTAAGAGTTGACCCCAAACAACCAAGCATATGTCAAAACAGTATTGTTCAAGTATTCATTCACTTCCATATTTTGTATAAGCGTTATATTCCTTATTATCTTATATTGAAAGCTTTTGTTTGTCTGAACAGATAATCCCACGCTCCACTGTGATTGCGCTAAGATCGAAATAAAGACGTACTCAATAATTCTCTGGTTTCTTCTATCAATAGTACGAGGGTTACCTATAGGCACGAAATTGGTGAGCCCGTTTTGAACACAAATTAACCTCATTTTTGTTATTAATATTATTTTTTTTTACTCAATCGTAAAAGTAGACCTGATAATCCGTAAACTAAGTTGGGTATATAAATAGTTTATTCTTTTTATTATCTTAAGTTATTCGTGTCATAGAAACCATTTTTTTTCGTGCTAATTTTATTGCTATATTTGTCACATACCTCATGTCAGACTTAAAAGAAACCCATAATCTGGAGGATTTGTCACCAGTGGAGATAGACACTGTTATGACTACGAAATATCGACTTCCAGAATTTGATCGTAGTGATCCTGAGTTGTGGTTTGCTCAACTCGAGCATTATTTCACGAGACACAATATCAAATCTGAAGGGATTCGCTATAGAGATTTGTGTTCTATCCTTCCTCCTTCAGTCGCCAAAGAAGTCCGTGACTTGATTTTAGATCCACCATCACCACAACCGTACACCGTCTTAAGACGAGAGATAATGAACCGTTTATCATTATCAGATAGTCAAAGAATCCAAAGACTTTTTCAAGGTGAAACACTAGGTGATCGGTCGCCGTCACAGTTTCTACGTCACCTCCAAGTCTTAGTGGGTGATAACACAGTGGGTGAAGCAGTCCTAAAACAAGGATGGATACAAGCTCTCCCATGCTACGTCCAACACTGTTTGGATGCACAAGATCCTGAAACCTCATTATCTCAGTTAGCGCGTATAGCCGATAGAATAATGACAAGAGGTCCTCCAACTGGATCAGGCACAATAAATCACACACAGAAAGTAGAATCAGCAAAAGACCCCGTCGTAGAAGGACTCATTGCGAGTGTTAAGAGTCTCACTGAGGCTGTCACCAGAATGCAAATGGGTCATACAAACAGGAGCAGGTCACCACAACGATCACGATCCAAGTCACAAAATAGGTCACAAATGTCCAGACAATCTGGGCAGTTTTGTTGGCACCACTGGAAGTTTGGTGTCAACTCAACCAAGTGCAGGCAACCATGCGCCTGGCCTAAGCATAATTCCAAGACAGCGGGAAACGAGTAACCCCTCCCCAGGTCGCGACAACTGAGGAGGGGCGCCTAAACAGTCGCTTGTTTTATGTCAGACACAGAAACTCGGGCTTGAATTTCTTGGTGGACACTGGCGCTGCTCTTAGCATCATCCCTCGAAATAAAACTGAGATTAGTCGAGAAACATCCCCGATTACACTTCAAGCTGCAAATAAAACTACAATCGCGACATTTGGGCAGAAAACGTTAACCCTAGATTTGGGGTTCAGAAGGCAATTCCCTTGGGTTTTCACGGTAGCCGACTTAGATCTGGCAATACTAGGGATGGACTTTCTAGAGAGATACGAATTTCTTGTTGACACCAAGAAACGGCGATTAACACTAAAAGAAACTTCGTTTTACACAAAAGGCAAAGAAAGCCACATCAGCTCTCTTAACTTGATTCAAACCCCTCCAGTAACAACAGCGAAATTCCAAGATATACTCGCGGAATTTCCAAACTTAACCAAACCAAACCCACAGCCTTCCAAAGACAAACTAAAAGTAAGTCACACTATCAAAACCGAAGGTGCACCGGTGTTTGCAAAACCCAGGAGACTAGCACCAGATAAGCTCAAAATCGCTAGGGCCGAGTTTGATTATATGCTACAACTGGGTGTTAATTCTATCGAAGCGTCGAAGTAACCCCGATTGAGATACGCGCAAAATCGAAGTTCGCAAACAACGATTTGTCTACAAAAGCGGTTCTTTATTAAATAATACACAAAATTTAGTTACAAACCTCAACTTGTGAGGTGTCTAGGCGTTTAGACGCGTCGTTCAAAATGAAAATAGCAAAAGCTTCGATAGTCCAAAGACAGCCGATAGCTGTGTCTAAATTTGGTAACAGTTTATGAACAACCGAAACTCGAACCAAGAGCAAACAATATGGAAACTGTTGCATTCAAACAAATGTACAAAACTGTGGATAATCGTTACAGTAATTAAATTACAGGGGTTATAATGATAAATACAATTATAAGTAAAATAAACGTTAAAGATATAGGTGAACATTCCAGAATGTTACAGTACAACTTGAGATACAACATAAGTGTGAAAATTGTTTGGCATGCAGCTGCCTACTGAACGTAAATAAGTAGTATAAAACAACATACGAAGAGCAGAAAAGGAACATGCAGGAACAATCTAAGACAAACTTAACACCGCCCCCCAAAGACAGCATGTCTTTCCTTACTTTCGCTGATTCTTGCTCTTGTACGTATTTTAATAAGTCTCCTTCGGCATTATCCAATTCGTTAAGCGTAAGGGGTCCCCTTACGACAGTTTTATTGTAGAGGTAACGTTTGAACCTGATGAGCCAAGCTATGCCTTGTTTGAGTTTAATCCATGACGAAAAATAGGATATAAATTTATCAAGGGGAAAAACTGTAGTCATGGTGTCTAAGGTTGTGGCGTTCTTTAACTCCAGCTCGACTGGGAGTTTTAATATTACTTCTCGTCTATACTCAGGCCATTTATCCTTCTCAGTCGTTAGGAACTCGGGACCTGAAAGCCAAGCTTCAATACAGTTGGGGTCATACATACATATTCCTCTAGAAGCTAGATCAGCAGGATTGATAGATGATGGTACATATTTCCATTGGGATGGCTTAGTTCGCTCGTGGATGAAGTTAATTCTATTAGCTACATATGTCTTGAAACGTGACGTTGTATTAAGTATGTAATTTAATACTATCATAGAATCAGTCCAGAAGTAGATTTCAGTCAGATCGTTCAGCTTTATTTCTTCTACTATTTGCCTCATCAACTTCACTGACAGTACTGCGGCTTGTAGTTCAAGGCGAGGAACACTGACGAATTTTAGGGGTGCTATTCTAGATTTGCCCAGGATGAAGCTACATCTCGTTATACTTGTATCATATTGTACACTCATATAGGCTACGGCTCCATAACCGCTTTCTGAAGCATCCGAAAACAGATGTAGAGAAATTTGCCCTTTATTGTACGATCCAATATTGAGACATCGTGGTATCCTTAGATCTCTGACACCCGCAACTGCTTCTAACCAACTTTCCCAACTCATTCGTGACTCCTCATCTATTATCTCATCCCACCCATAGTTTTTACGACATAGCTGTTGCAGAATTCGTTTAGGGGTAAGTGATAAAGGCGCTAGAAATCCAAGCGGGTCATATAACGATGATGCACATGATAGAATGCCTCTCTTAGTGATCGGGCGTTCGGGAAGATTTACGTCGAATGCGAAACAATCGGATTGCGTGTGCCAACAAAGTCCTAAAGTTCTCTGTATACGTTCTGTCGAACCTGGTATACGAACCAAATTGTTTGATCTGTCACCTATAGGGACGTCATTCAGTGCTTCATTTACGTTACTAACCCATTTATGTAAACGGAAGCCTCCAAGCGCCACGAGTCTCATTAGATTCTTTGCTAACTCAGCAGCTTCTGATATTGTTTCTACTGAGACTAAACAATCGTCTACATAAAAATTTTCTCGTAAAGTGGACTGTGTTTTTTCATCGAACAAATCTCGGTGATCTGTAGCAGTGCGTCTTAACGCATATGTAGCGCAAAACGGTGAGGACGTAGCCCCGAAAGGATGTACATGCAACTCATAGACCTCAGGAGGAGAATCAAGATTGCCACCGGGGTACCATAAAAAGCTGAAGGCCTTTGTATCCTTTTCGGGTAGATGTACCTGGAGGAACATTTCTTCAATGTCTGCCGACAATCCAATCTTATGCTTTCTGAATCTAAGCAAAACTCCCACTAGGTCATTTGTAAGATCTGGTCCAGAATATATACAATCATTTAGCGATCTGTTTTGTAACTTAGCAGCACAATCAAAGACTATCCGAACTTTACCTGGTTTTTTAGGGTTAAATACGGGATGATGTGGAATAAAATACCTTTCTTCTTCGATAGCTTGTGTTACTCGAGCCAAATATCCTTTACTTTCGTGGGTAGCTAATATAATAGTATATTGTTTCCGAAGCTGTTCGTCCTTTAGTAACCTTTTCCGTAGGCAAATTAATCGTTTTTCTATTTCGCGCTTATTCCTTGGAAGTGAGTGTCAATCTACCTTCCAGGGTATCGGCACTTGATAATGTCCTTCGAGCAATACTGTTTGCTTGTCAGTAATCTCCATAATGGTCTTATCACATAGGGACATGGTAACCTTATCAGAGTATTTATTTTCAGAAAATTCATGTTCAAATAATTTGAGAATATCCTCCTCGAGGGAATTTTTCGCTTTTAAACAGTTCATGAAGACTGAAGTCTTATTACGTTGACCCGTTGGTCCAAATAAAGCCCACCCTAACATGGTTAGTGAAGCATAGGGTTGTTTAGGTTTTCCGATACGCTGATCGAGTACCCAGTGGGCCTCTGGAACGTCAACACCAAGTAACAAACCAACCTTGTCACAAGCTATGGTGGGTAGTTGTACGCCTTTCAAGTGTTTCCATCTTTCTTGGAAGTCCGTTGGTGGGATTTCTGCTCTTTTAATAGGTAGGTTATCTATAGTATATGCACCTTCAATTTTTATTCGGTTGGTCTTATCTAAAGACTCAATTTCGAAATTGGTAAGTTCAGCGTTCTGAGATGACGCTCCAATTACTGAAGATATGTTTAATCTTGTCACTATACCAGAAATTCCTACCTGCTTTGCCACGTCACTAAGCAGTAATGTCGAGTCTGAGCCATTGTCTAACAATGCATAGGTATCCACATAACCTGTGGGACCATGTAGTCTGACTGGTACAAAGCCTAAATACTTCCCAGTAGTATGAGTGGAATTACAACATGCTTGTTTAACATCAGGTTCTGTGTTGTGAAGAATTCTATGATGGCGTCGCTTGCATCCATTAATTTCACACAACACGGGCTGTCTGCAGTCTGTGGCGCGATGATTGGGTTTTAAGCAATTAAAGCAAAGTTTAAACTTCTTCAGCAATTCTACTTTTTCGTTGCGACTTACTGACAGCAGCTGAGGGCAAGATGCGACTTCGTGGGCATCGGAGCAAATTACACAATGGACTGATCCTTTAATTGACGAAGTATGGATCTTAGCTCTTATGGAAGACGACCGGTTGTTCGTCGTTTGAGCCTTATAGCTTCCGCTTGCTAATTGTCCGTATGTGTTTGTTGCGATTGACACTTTCTTATCTAAGAATTGCAATAAATCATCAAAATTAGGCTCTAGCCCCTTTTTTAAAATATCGTCTGTGGCCTCCGCCCATTTAAACTGTATACTACGTGGTAGTTGTTTCACTATTCGTTTTATGTTGGTCGAACAATCGAGATCGGCATTCCTACCCATCTGTGACAAGGCTATCTTACAATTAGTCATGAGTCTTGTCAGTTTCTGTAGGCCCGTTATGTCGTCTTGATTCAGTGGGGATCCACTTAACAGTTCTGTTAAGAAGGCTTTCACAATGTCATGTGGTCTGTCGAACCGTTCATGTAGAATTTTTATTGCCTCAGTATAACCTTCCTTTTCTGGTAATAAAACACAGTGCTCTATAGCATCCTTTGCTATACCTTCGCAATAGTGTATCAGGTACATTAATTTCTGAGTGTCATCATTTACTCTGGCAGCTATGTTAACCTTGAATCCCTTCATGAACGTCCAAAATTTCAGAGGACTCCCGTCAAATTTCATGATTTCTATCTTCGGTAAGCTTACTGACATACATAGCGCCTTGACACTATCTATCTGTGCTTTGAATTGCATTTCATCACTCGAAAGTACATTGGTATATCGGTGACTTGCTGTAACTGCTGAAGTTTTATCTTCGGATCGAGACCCCGACAACTCGGTAGTCTCCCTAGGTCTTCTCACTTTGTTTGAAGCGTTCGGAGTTAGCTCTAACAATCGCTTGCGTAGTTGGAGTTCTCTTATCTCCAGCTCAATCTTTTCTACTTCCCTTGCCCTAGAAACCACTTCGTCTACTACGCTGTATCGAGTCTCTACATAACTGTCTCCTACCGAGCAACTGTCTTTGGGGTTAGGTTTAACAATATCAAAAGCAAGATTTAAAGGAATAGGTGAATTCACCTTAGAAACTGAAGGAATAATATTTTCAGCACTGGAATCGTCTGTGTCTTGGGAACCGTCATCGTTGTACTTCATTCTTCTTGTTCTAGTCATCGTTGGGATGAATGAACCAAACAGAATTCCGACCAAATTTCGTTACAGCAAGTGTTCCCTCCAATTAGGACCAAAGTTCAGAACTGTATCCAGACCAAATGAGACCAAAGTTGAGAACTGTTAATTCTATCGAAGCGTCGAAGTAACCCCGATTGAGATACGCGCAAAATCGAAGTTCCCAAACAACGATTTGTCTACAAAAGCGGTTCTTTATTAAATAATACACAAAATTTAGTTACAAACCTCAACTTGTGAGGTGTCTAGGCGTTTAGACGCGTCGTTCAAAATGAAAATAGCAAAAGCTTCGATAGTCCAAAGACAGCCGATAGCTGTGTCTAAATTTGGTAACAGTTTATGAACAACCGAAACTCGAACCAAGAGCAAACAATATGGAAACTGTTGCATTCAAACAAATGTACAAAACTGTGGATAATCGTTACAGTAATTAAATTACAGGGGTTATAATGATAAATACAATTATAAGTAAAATAAACGTTAAAGATATAGGTGAACATTCCAGAATGTTACAGTACAACTTGAGATACAACATAAGTGTGAAAATTGTTTGGCATGCAGCTGCCTACTGAACGTAAATAAGTAGTATAAAACAACATACGAAGAGCAGAAAAGGAACATGCAGGAACAATCTAAGACAAACTTAACACTGGGTATTATCCGTCCCTCTGATAGTCAATGGGCATCCCCTTTGCATATGGTCCCAAAGAAGAATGAAGGTGACTGGCGACCGTGCGGAGATTACAGAGCCCTCAACCGTCAAACCGTACCAGATAGGTACCCAATACCGCATATCCAAGATTTCACAAACGGTTTACAGGGTATGAACATATTCACTAAAATTGACTTAGTCAGGGCATATCACAATATCCCGGTGGCTGATGAAGATATCCCTAAGACAGCTATTACAACACCCTTTGGCTTATTCGAGTTTGTACGCATGCCATTCGGCCTGAGAAATGCGGCACAGACATTTCAAAGATTCATAGATAACCTACTTCGAGATATGCCATTTGCGCAGGGGTATATAGACGACTTGTTAATTGCCAGCCCCGATTTGCAATCACACGAAGAGCATGTACGAGCAGTGTTGACAAGATTGAATGAACATGCAATAAACATACATCAAAGTAAGTGTGTTTTCGGTGTTCAAACTTTAGAATTTCTTGGTCACACAATAAGCCCAGAAGGGATTAAACCTATAAAAAAAGAAGTGGATACCACCAAACAATACCCGATACCTAACTCTCTAACACAAATGAGAAGTTTTCTAGGTCTAATTAACTTTTATCGCAGATTCATACCAGGTTGTGCACAATTAATGCAACCTTTAACAGATTTACTTAAAGGAAAACCAAAAGAATTCAAACTGTCTTCTGACGCCGTCGAAGCTATTAAACAGCTTAAAGATAAACTGGCTCAAGCAACTACGTTGATATATCCGAATTCTCTTTCCCCACTTGCTTTAATGGTGGATGCTTCAGATAAAGCAGTAGGCGGTACCCTTAACCAACTGGTCAAAAACGCCTGGAAACCAATTGCTTTCTTCTCGAAAAGACTCGCTCCAGCTGAGACAAGGTATTCTACCTTCGGGCGAGAACTTCTTGCAATCTACCTGACTATTAAACACTTCCGACACATGTTAGAAGGTAGGGAATTTATAGTCTTTACGGATCACAAACCACTGACGAATGCATTAAAACCGAGAGCCGATAAGTACTCACCTCGAGAAGTCCGACACCTTGACTATATATCACAGTTCACAAGCGATATCCGACATGTCAAAGGTCAGGACAATCAGGCGGCAGATGCTTTATCCAGACTAGAAATGAACGTGGTACAGCAGTCTACAGTAAACTTCGAGACGTTGAGACACGAACAAGAGCAGGACCTAGAATTACAAAACCTACTCAAAACAAACAATTCAAGTCTCAATTTAAAACAGTTTCCATCACCTATCGATGGTATTCTAATTTACTGTGACACGACCAAGGCAATGCCGCGACCTTTCGTTCCCAAAAATATGCGAAAGTTGATATATAATAACTTTCATTCTTTGTCTCATCCTGGAGCAAAAGCTTCAACTAAACTAATCAATGCCAGATATATATGGCCGAATTTACAGAAGGATGTACACAAATGGGTTAGAGAGTGTTCAGCATGCCAACAATCAAAGATTAATCGTCACACAAATTCACCCATAGGTGTTTTCTCGCAACCAGATGCACGTTTTGCACATGTGCATATCGACTTGGTAGGTCCTTTACCCCGTTCAAATGGTTTTAATTATCTTTTTACATGCATAGATCGATTTACCAGATTCCCTATAGCCATCCCGATAGCGGACATCACAGCGGAAACAGTAGCCAAAGCTTTCATGCAGAACTGGGTAACCATTTTTGGTACACCCATAACAATAACGACGGATAGAGGAGCGCAATTCGAATCCGAACTATTTAATAACTTGGCTAAACTTCTAGGCTCTAATAGGATACGCTGCACTGCATATCATCCTCAGGCTAATGGGATGGTAGAACGTTTTCACCGTCAGCTAAAAACCGCCCTTATATCTCACTCAAACCCCAATCAGTGGACAGAATTCCTACCATTAGTTATGTTGGGAATACGAACATCTGTCAAAACTGACGCACAATGTTCAGCTGCGGAACTGGTTTTCGGAACAACTCTGAGACTACCAGGTGAATTTATTAACCCTAATACTAACAGTCAAAAACTTAATTTAGAAAATTACGTAGATCAACTACGGGACCATATGTCCAAACTTAAACCAATTAATACTCGCGAACAATCGCGCGCCGTATATGTACCTAAAGACCTAAGCAATTGCACGCACGTCTGGATAAGATGTGATAAAATAAAATCACCACTCAGTCCTCCATTTGAAGGTCCTTTCAAAGTCGTCTCAAGAAAATCTAAATATTTCGTGATAAAAAAACATGGAAACATCGACACAATAAGTATTGATAGGCTAAAGCCGGCTTATCTAGATCATGAACCACCATACGTATTGTTAGATCGTTTAACCGACAAATCCATTACGGAATCGAAATGTAAAGATGATAAATCTTTACAAATGACTAAAACGGTTCGCTGGGCACATCCAATTAGTCAGTCAAGGATGTTGACAGTTTCGGCTGCAGGATAAAATCTAACCACGTAGCTAATCAGACCCTGCATCTACTCAAAAATATTTTTCCCCTCATTCCGCCTCACCTACAACTCCCCAGACCTTTTACCTTTGATATATAAGTGTTATGTTAAATATTTTTTTAATACTGGACACATAAGCTAGGTATTCCGAAACGATAGCTGAGGATTTTAATCAAACTCATGCAACTAACACTGGCAAATACAACGAATTCAAAAAGCAACCCAGGCGAGTTTTATAATTTCTTTTTCTGGTTAATTAACTATGTTGGCTGTAATTCTTATATATCTATATACATTTTTCACGTAGACTGGCTATACATATATACCATATGAACTACTTCTAAAAGTTTTCGGTCGAAGATATGTTTAGTAGCTTGATATGATTAATACTACTATTAATAAGTGGTTTTCTAGACAAAACATTTTGGATTAAACCATGGCCAAGTACTTATTAAAGTTCTCATCATTTTTTTTCATGTTTAGGAAACTTATGTAATGACTTAACCAGTTTTCCTGCAGCATGCTTTTTAGTGTGATCATATAACCCATCTTTATTGGCAATATTCAGATTTTTTTTTAAATTCTGACATTTAAGAATCAATAACCGTGGAGATATAGTACAGTGCGTTACTGTAAGGTTACTATGTTAGCCGCATTGATTCCGCATACCTAATTTTAAACACAACTTATAAAGGAACCGTTAAGTTATCATAACATTGAACTGACGATATGACTATCATGGCTATGTTAACGTTAAACCAATTATTATTAGTGGTCCTGACAAAATCCTGGAACTTAACACTAGCGTTATAAAAAAGACATGTTATTTCAGTAACTTATATATATACTTTTTCTCTCGGTTTAAGTATAACGTAAAATGGAAATTACAAAACTTGTAGATTTTTTTTCTATAGTATTATTAGTAATCCAAACAAAGAACTTGTACTGTTCCAATATGGCATTCTGACACATCAATCAGTCCTCCTGTTATCTTTCTCTCATATCTGAGCAACTTATGGCCAACAAACATCGTATTGAAGGGGGTTTCGATGAACAAAAACGCATGACCCACACGCACTCGAACCTCTGCCCTCCTGAATGCTAGACCGCGTACCTAGCCATTAGGCCACATCAGACCACGAGGGGTGACTGCAATCTTTCCTTTTACCGATTAATCATTCATAATACTAATGAGTAATAGGACTTCAACACTTCTAAGGTGCAGACAAATTCGTTACTTTGATGAATTGACGAAATATTGCCTCAGTATATCATACATATTTAAATCAAACCAGAAAAGAGTATTTGACACAACTGTACTTGATTCTCATACTCTACACAATTTTCTCCCCTCTTTAACCGTATATTCTCTTCCGTTTTATGGAGTAAAATTATGCACCCTTGGTTACGTACCTGGTTATAAAAGGCGGTCGTCACAGTCCCAAGGTCACGCATTTGAATGGGTTTGACAATGAGTCCAACTTCTAGCAAGTTTACACTTTTACATATATACATTATAAAAAAGGATTTTATTTGTTTTCATACCTTTTCGTACACAAGATGGCTACACTATGTCTATTTTCTTCCAGAATACCAATCCGTTCTGGAGGCCAATCACTTACGTGAAACCGAACAATTATCAATTATATTTATATATTTCCATTTTGTATCTTATTATTTTGATGCAGGCAGTGGAGCAGTTCTTTAGGTTTGATTGGTTTTCACCATTACCTTTGAAGTAGATTCTTCTTTACTTTTTACTTGAGGGCGACTCAAGAGGCAGGTGAGTAAACACCTGATAGCCGATCTGAGCAAGGAAAAATCGTACCTCACCAACATGGTGTTGGGTAGCCCGCTCGCGGCACTTCCTCAGATATTCTTATTCCACAGTCTCACACTCTTTCTCATGAAAGCACGCAGCAAACCGTCAGCGATAGTTGTAGAAGAAATCACATG